GAGGGGGAGGGGGAAGGGGTATGCTCTTCTCGTAAGTCTCTTTTCTTAACCTCTGGTTACCTGTGACCAAAAATCTACTTATTCCTTGAGCGTCGAATTCACGAAATAAAGTTTCAATTTTAAAAATCTACAGTAAAAGACATGACATCTTAAGCATTTTCTTCATCAGTGTACGGTAGCAGAATTCCGAGACCGTGAAAGACAAAGGGAAAGGTTTGGTTAAAATCTGACCGATTTAAACGTAATTTTCTTCTAAGTGAACCCTTCCACTCAATATAAATTTGTTGGACTCTTTTTTTTTTGTTATCACTCTCACCCCTTATGTTCGTCTTGGTTCCCTTTTGACGACCATAAATGATTCTTTCCCTTAGCCTATTTGTTCCTCAACTCACGATTCTCAATAGCAAGCAGAGTTTGAAGAAAGGACTTTTTTCATACCAAGGGAGGGAGGGAAAAAAACTTTATATATTTCATTTTGCAATGAGAGATATTTTGATTTCTTAGATCATGACGATGAGGAAACTATCAAAGAAGCAGCGAGTGTTATCGCTAAGCACACTTGTATCAGATTCGTGGAGCGCAAAGATGAAAAGGACTTCATCGAATTCTACGAAGACAGCGAGTAAGATATGCAAAATTTTAAGACTTTTTCCGCGATCCACCACTTGGTATAATGTTTGTATTGGTAGTTTTTCCCTTTCTTTGATTCTATGTACATGTAATAGGAAAATTTGATTGGTTGATTGGTTGGTTTGCGGGCTGAACTCCAGAGCTTGGGTTTGTGCAGGATTTCCTGTTCCCTGTGAGATTCATTCTTTATATGAAAAGGCATTTCAAAGTGTCCTACTTGACGAAATTCTAAGGTTTGGCAGCAACAGTGTTCCTAAAATCAGAGACCGGGGCATGTTATAAGCTGGAAGCGACCAGATGATAGGCTGGTGCTTAAAACCCCTTCTCCATTGTCCTACTCGTTACAGATTTTTGCTTTTCAAGACCACACCCAACGCAAAAACGCAGTCACAGTTTAATTTGCTATCTGACTCGATTGTTAGATGCACTTGCGTAAAATTGAACCACTGAAAACTCAATACCTGCCAACTTTTTTATTTGAGAATATTATTCCGCGACATGAAAAATCTTCTGTTATTACTCACTCCAGCAATGTCTGTGAGTCGTACATGGGCAAAAAAGGCGGGAAACAGCTGTTGTCGCTCGGAAGCGGCTGCAAGAACAGAGGTCACGTGACTCATGAGCTAATGCACGCCTTGGGATTTTTCCACGAGCATACCAGACCGGATCGTAACAAGTTTGTCAAGATATTGTGGGATAACATCAAGAGAGGTGAGTAACCTTACGCAATACTACTTACCTACTTTTGTTGTTCTTTCTTAGTCTTCACTTTAGTGAGCTTGGTAGTCGCATTTACAAGACGATTTTTCTTTCATACACCCCAGACCACTTCAACCAGTTTGAAATCCGCAGGCGAGGAGTCACAACTCTGGGCCAACCATACGACTTTCAATCCATTATGCATTACTCCAACAAGGAGTTCAGTAAAAACGACAAGGACACCATCCAGGCCCTATCAGATCCAAACATGCCACTTGGTAACATCAACTCCTTATCTGCCGTGGATGTCCTGCAAATTAACCTGCTCTATAACTGTCCCGAGGCACTCAGACAAGGTACAGCAGTTTTATAGGCACGTAACGCTTGCAGAGGTACAGCTTGCGTTGAAATTCACGGCAAGAAGGTCAAAGTGCACCAAAGGAAATTATGTCAACTGCAACGAACGACCAAACGTTAGTTACTGAATTATGACTGACTATTGTCTTTTGAGTTCGGAAAACTAATCAATTACTTAAGTGCACTAACATACGACTGTATAACAATTCTTCCTTTCCTTTTCGTGTGAATGATGATTTACTTCCCCCCTTCCCTCACCGCTCGGATTTTTCAAACGACTGCCATCGATCACATTACTACCATATCAAGACAATCACGCCACAACAAATATGGCTAGTGACCACATGCAAACCATTTACTCACTGCATCACTGTACGTTCTTTAATTCACAGTTGACAACTACGAAATAACCGTGTGCACAGGAGAGAAATATTTTGCGGGAACAGATGGACAAGTGTTTGTAGAGCTGTTTGGGCGGAACTCTGTTGGCCAACTGCAAAATTCAGGCGAGGTAGAATTAGCGGGAAAAAAGAGCGCCTTTGAGATGAGAAGGTGAGAAACACTGCAAAGCCATTATGAAGGGTCTTTAAGGGGCACAGTAATTGTTATCATTCCACACCGGAGAACATCAGCGGGTCAGAAATTCTGTGTGTCTGTGTGTGTGAATGCGTGCGTGCGACCGTGCGTAAGTGTGTGCGTGCGTGTGTGTGTGTGTGTGTGTGTTTGTACTGGTGGGGAACTGTAGCCACTCATCTGTTATCTTGTTGTTAGTGTCGATAGATTTAACGTTATTTCACCAAACCTCGGAAAACTGGTCAGACTGGCGGTCAGACTCAAAGATGGAGGATACGGAGGAGCATGGTATCTAGACAAGGTGATTATTTGGAATCCGAGAGGTAGAGTATACAATAGATTAATGACTCCAGTTTGTCAGTAGCCCATTACTTAATGGGCTTCTGCCTTTGTTTCGGAAGCCGGCGGGGCCTAATTAACAATTATTCCACGAGCGCGCGTTGGATATGAGATGATAGATAGCCAACGAGGCGCGTAGCGCCGAGTTGGCTATAATCATCTCATATCCAACAAACGCGAGTGGAATAATTGTTTTATTAAAAACACTACATTAAATTATTAAATTTTATTAAATCCTTAGCTCCCTTTCAATTTTAAGCTTATGCGTACGCTTACCATATCGTAGTGTATGGTATATTGGCTCATATACCATATTGGCTAAGCCAATGAAAAGTCTTGAATTGCATTATCCAATGATCCAGTTTTTAATAATATCGATTATTGACCCTGAATACGCAAGATGGAGTTTGGTAATGACTGATAACCTCTTCCGTCGCCTAGCTTTTATAAACATGGAGGCAGCTAGCTTTTATAAACATGGAGGCAGCTTGAGATGATGGCTCAAACAGAACAAATTGGGGCGCAGGTTCAATGAAGCTACACTCCGGTGGGAACGGAAGGGAATACGTAAATTTTCTAAATCTTATTATATATACAAGGCTAAAAAGATAAAGAAAAATTATTAAAATGTTAAAACCAAACGTTTTCGGCTGTTTGCCATCATTAGGGTGTTTGCTATATGAATATATCTTATTAACCAAGCGCGAGGGCCGTACTGGGAGAGTATCGGCCCGAGGTATTGACAGTACGGACCGAGCGCAGCGAGGTCCGTACAAAAAAGACCGAGGGCCGCTATTCTTCCAGTACGGTCCCGAGCAAGCTTGGTTAATAAGAGATTTATTATACGACTGAAGTTCAAAGGGACACAAGTGCGGTATCATTCGGGACCATTCGGGACAGTGCCCGGTCCAATACTGAAAGAATATTGACCGGCAATAGAGCATTTTGATTGGTTGCTTTTAGTTATTGGCCCTCTGACTGCCCGAGTCGTGTAATAATATCTTTTATTAAGCGAACATTATGGACATCATTTCCAAATCTTGTTTCTCAATGAAAATCAAGGTGGTAGGAAAAGAACCCATCAAAAGTGAAGGAGTAGTTCAGAATTATTTTGGATCGATCAAGTCTTTTTATCAAGGCGGTTCTTGCTTGCAATTGGATGTTGAGACTATATGATCAGCGGCCTTCTAAAGAGATGGTCCAATTAGAATAAGGAAAATGAGATGACGGTCCATGTAAATAACTTTGTTCCCAAAGTGCTAAATGGAACTTTCAGAGTGTGTTCTTTATGCATGCAAAGCCACGGTGACTTCAGGCACTTTGGTAGCACTTAAGAATTTTTAAGATAAGGCGTGGTATTGTTACTGTAAGTTGTAGGCAAGGCGGATCTTGTATCCTTTAAAGTACCTTGACCGTTACATCGGTCGATAGTCGCTCGATACTCGACTGATATGTTGGTCGACACTCGGTCGAAACTTGATCAATAGTCGGTCGATAGTCTGTCGATACTCGGTCGATAGTCGGTCGATAGTCGGTCGATACTCGGTCGATGGTCGACTATTAACCGAGTCTAGACCAAGTATCGGCCAACTATCGCCCGACTATCAACCGTACGTCGGCTGACTATCGACCGAGTGTCGACCGAGAGTCAAGGCCAGGTGGAGGATGGGGAGGAGGGAGATGAATGAAGGAGAATTGAAATGAAAGCGAGTCGTACCCATCCGCTCCGTTTCCATACCCGCCTTCTCAGCAATGCTTTTACTCCTCTTGCCACTGATGGTTTCATTGTCTCCAGCTCTATTGGGATCTAACAACCCTTGTGGTCCCTTTTGTTTCTCAGATTCAAGTTCAAAACAGAAAGAGGCGAGTGGATGTTTCTTTTCCATGTTCCTGCTGGTTTAGAGGAAGTTCTGACACCAAGACATTGGAACCTTCTTACTAGTTGATAAACTTCAATTTGTTTTGTCATAACTTATGTCGTGCAACTATGGTTTGAACCCAAAAGTAACAGATGACCGTGTGGTGTCGTCTGATCGTCTGGGTGATCTAAGTCCTAGGCGGAAGTCGTCAACAGAGTCATGTCACTCTGATTATCGTTTCCGCTCAGGTTGTCAAAAGGTCAGTCGTTGTTACCGACAACTTCCTTTCCAGGACTTCTCTTACCCGAACGATCAGACCACATGACCAACTGTCATTTACTTACTACAAGTGGACTAATTGTTTTATCAGTAAAATTAGTTAATTTTCATATTCACCACAGTTGACATAGTATTATAGTTATGGCCACGAGAAAAGGAGCTCTATTTCCAACTTTAAAGGCGCTTTCCTTACTTCAGTGACAGCTGACTAATATTGCCAGTTGAATGTAGATTCGGCTCTCTTTTGAAGCTGTGTCCACTATGACATGTATAACGTACTTTGTTTTAATAAATAAAACTGTGGGTACCTCGAATTGTCACGGAGAGAAATAAGGAGGGAGGCTGGGGAGGAGTCACAAGCCTTCCGCTTTATTACAATGGCATGCGTTTCGTAACTGAGCACCCGAAAAAGTTAAGCACGCCGTGAAAAATTTAAGAGAAGCAAATGTTGCCCGCACCTTCGAAGGGGTTCCACGGTTGACAGAAGCTCTGGTAGAGAAATTAGCATCGTTTTTACCGTACTCCAAGAGTTATTGACGCGTGCAGCTCATTAAATCTCCCGCTTAATTCAAAACTTATTAATTAGTATGAAACGATGAGAAAATTAGCGAGTGTGACTTCGATACGAAAGCAGCTTACGAACACAGGAGCAGTTTCCATTCGAGATAATCTCGGTTAATTTATAAAACTAAGCCGTATCAGTGTTCTGAGGGTCCAGTATCATAGTTTAGAATCGAAGTTAAACAACGAAGCTGACAACTCTACAGACGGGTAAACTTAAGTTAAGCGCAGTTCACGAGGGATAAGAATTTGTAATTATGATGAACGTTTGGCGAAGAAGTGCAGTAGCGTTAATTGTGATTACAGCAAGTCTAGTCGCTCATGGAGGAAAATACCAAGGTATGAGAAGTTTGTGGTGTGTTTAAATTATTATCAATTTATAATTATTTCCAAATGTCAGCTTAAAGTTTGCAAATGCTTGATGAGTCTAGTAACGTCCTTCGTACACATCAGACCTGCTTGCTTATATTTCAAGACAACTCAATTCTTAATGAGAGTTTAATTCCACAGTGTACTGAATATAACATGTATTCAATTCGATAAAATATTGTAGAATTCAAAATTTCTGTTTTATGTTCGATTTTTAAAAAAAAATTCTTTGCATAATTTGGCTTATTTAATACTCAATTCTAATCAGGAAGAACCGTTGATTAATAAACAAAGCTGCAACTATGATAAAAGCGCCGAGATATAAAATGTAGCCCAGCGCTAGCGATATATTTTCAGTTTTATTTCTCTTAAAAAGACAAAGCAAATTTTTGCTCCTTTAGAGTGAAAACAGCAGGAATTCGTTGCAAACGTAATTTTTATAATTTTAATGCTTCTGTCATTGGTAAAACTTCCAGGGCTTCGTTCGCAACCCAAAAGTATTTCTTTTTTCTCTTGAAACTGCTTTATCAGTGCGTTAATTTACTTCTTTCCCTTTCTTTCTTTTCAATAGAACTATGTTATATTTACTGGTTTCATTTGTTAAATTGCCCTATATTTTAGGCGCCAAACTAATGATAATTTATGCCGACATTCGATGCTATTTTTCCGCGGATGGTTAACTGCAGTTACGCACGAGAGAGCAATAATGGGGGTAAACTGTCACCGGTTTTGTCTCCTTTGAGGTACAAGACGTTAATTTCTTCCCAGTAAACCTGCTCTGAACTTGAACAAAAATTCCCACTTGTACAGTAATTCACGAATCGATACACATTTTGCTGGAACAATAAGCTATTTTCTTTTAAACGACGCCGAAAAAGGCACTGTGCTATAATTTACATTCAATGCCAACCTTTGTCGGGACTTGTTTGAAGGGGGAGCCGACATCGAAGAGGTCTTGACGTCTTTTTTACCTGATATGATATCATGACTGATAACTGCCCACTACTGACATAAGAAACATTATCCCAGACTCTCAACTAGACGAAAAGTCTAAGAAATAGAAGTTAATTTTAACTTCAAGTTATCTCATGTTTGCCCTTGATTAGATATTTCCTTGTCGATAGTTTTTCTTATTATATCTTTTACACTCTTAAGGAAACAGCAAATTGGAAAGAGATGCATCTTGGTTAGATCCAAAGGACGAGTTCAACGATCCGCATACAGACCACCGGGCTTCAAAAAAAAGTTCTGCGCGCCATAAGACAGATAAAGATGACAATTCAGTTTACAAAAGGGATCGCGCGCCTCCAAAAAGCCCCAAATATTCAAGTTTGTCAACGGAGGCAATACTTGAAAGAGCTGAGTCTGTTTTAGAAGCTATCAATAAGAAAGGATGCCCAACAGCTGAAGGTGTGGCTTTTCATCCTTAATACTTGAACTTCAGTGCGCATTTTCTCCATACTGTTCTCTACACATTTCTTAAGGTGCTGACAAGGAGAATTTGTATAACAATCAAGAGCTTCTTTAGTTGGTGATCATTTCCTTTATTCTCATGACCTCAATGTGTGACTCAGGGCTGATATTGTGAGGAGAAATAAGACGTTGGTCACTCTTATTGTCAAAGGGTCATGTGACGTTAACGGGCTGGTAAAGTTAGGGCAAGTCCGACAAGACTTATCGTAATGAAGTGCAGGGGGGTGGCATGGGGGGTGAGGTCGGGGTGTTCGTTGCAATGCAATCAGCAACCCAGCGAACATCGGAGGCGTGCGTTCATATCAAAGCTTGGAGAGATTTTACTTCGACAAAATATAAGGTTATCATGGCATTTAATCGCGTTTACATGTGTTTACATTGCGCTTGTTGAATTCCTCCACTCACGCGTTTGTTTGACTTGATTTTCGCTCATTTTGTTTGTTTTCAACAGAGAACCTTTTCAACATTACTGTTTATACCGCTGATTTGAGGTTGGCAGGAACTACCTCTCAGGTGTACATCAATATCTATGGAATGGTTTATGGTCTGGAAGAGAGCACGTCAAAAATACATCTTACAAATCATAACATGGAGGAATTTACAAGAGGACGGTGCGTTCCAAACAGATTTTAAAACTTGCAGAGAAGCACCACGTTACAGACATTAAAATTTTTTGTTTTGATTTCCAGAGTGGATTCATTCCTTCTAAAGACGAAATTTGTTGGTTTGGTTCAAAGAATCACGATTGAGCACGACAACACGGGTGTACTACCAGATTGGAACTTGGACAAGGTACTGTGCGAATTTATTAATGAGGTGTTTACATCATGACGGAATTATCAATTCACTTTCCTGCTCTCAAAACTGACATTTCTATACCTTCCTTTTCACGACTCAAATAAACAAACAAACGAATAAACAAACAAACAAGAAACAAAACAATAAATCTTAATTGTTCGCGAACAAAATTAATCAAAAAGCAGTTCATAAAGCATAGTTTGATCATTGCTGGAACCTAGGTAAAAAGCAAGGTCTTGCCAAGAAAAGAGTACTTTCTCCTTTGTAACAAAGCTTTTTTTGATTGAGCCAAGTCGAAAACAAAACTACAGTAACCGCAAAGAAAAAAACATATGGAATTAAAATGAAATCATTACCACCATGAAACTCGGGAAAATACAAGAGAAGTAACCAACCTAAATAAATTTCTCCCCGCTGACACCTTTTCTCTTTTCTCTCTTCAGGTAGTAGTACACGATTTAAAACTCGGTACGGTCCAGACATTCATGTGCTTTTGTGAATTGGCGGGATACGAAAATGAAGTCTCCTTACCACCAATATAAAACAACACTCTCTGCAGTTTACTCTTTTCTTGTTGGAATGAAACGCAGTGTCTCGAAATGGATACAATGAATGGAACTAAAGCTGGGGTTCGAGGATATCTTCTCTTGCTTGTTGTTTATATATATATATATATATATATACATACATTTGCCTCTAACTGACTAAGTGTAAGGTACAGACCGAGTTTTTTCAAATGGGATTTTTGGCCTAAGCACGTAGTGCGCGAGTCAAATTCGAGCAGAAAAAAAAGAGGTTCTGTATCTTACAGGACGGACCGAAAGACGTGGTTAGTAAAAAATTTGTCATATCTCTGAGTTTAAAATAGAGGAGGAAGATTTTAATACGGACAAACGTTTAAATTTCAAAAGCCTTAATGTGAAATATGGCCCGCTAAATTTACCAATCATTGCGCACGTATTACTGAGAGAAAAAAAGGTGCTTAAGTGTATCCTAACCCTTATTTTAAAATCATTGAACAACTTGATGCAAGAGACTATCAGTTCATATTCTCTTGCATTTGCTTTATGCCAGCTCCTCTTTTTGAATTCATTTTTGATGGTTAACAAATTTCTGTCGCCCCTTGTGTTGATCATCGAAAATCCTTTTCATAAGATTTGCTAAAAATTTTGAAGGATTTGGTATTTTATGATGAAGAAGATTGAATTACGGTATGTATAGAAAAGACTCCTTGGACTATTTTAAATTGAAAGCGTATCTGATTACAGTCAGGTTCTCACGATTTCAAGACTTGAATAAAGGGTTTGGTACTTTACAACGACATAGAGGAAATCATCTTATTTAAAAATAATTCATTTTAATTCATATTTTTTTTTACAAAAATTGCATTCTCTTCAGGTTTTTTATACAGCAATAAATATTCGTAACGACTCGTTTAAATTCTTTGGCGAACTTGACACTTGGTAACGATAGGAACTCTCTAAATCCTTATTCCAGTTCTTCGCGCAAGTGTTCGTAAAATTGAAGTTTAAGCTGCGGACTGCGTTCATTTTGCGTTTAGACTTCGTTTACTCTGTGGTCAGACGCAGCATTTCTCGTGAGCACACCTTCACACCACTTCTATTCACCTAGTAACTGGTCAAGTCGCCCGGAAGTCATCTCGCCCGGAGCCTGAGTCCTGCCCGGAATTTAACGTAACGTAAGCAAATGCTCCAAAAAGGCGTTTCGATCGATCGGTACCTTAAGCACGTTCTAAAAATATGCCATTTTGGTGATAAAAAAATCGGGCGACTTGACTATTTTTTTGGGGGCGACATTACTAAAATTTCGGGCGGCATGACTCAGGTTCCAGGCGACATAACTTCGGACGAGATGACTTCTGGACGACTTGTTGGGAAACCGCATTTTGGCGCGCTAAGGAAAGCGTAACTCCAAGCCTTTATCTGTCCGCATTCGGAATCCAGGAAGAAACTGGCAAAAGTCCAAACCACCAAACCTCAAGGCCTGTTCAGACTTCTCCGAAGTTGGTATGACCTGTGGTTATTGCGTGCTGTTGAGCCGCTTGGTGCCCAGTCAGCGGTGTTCCACAAACGAGGCAGCGGATAGAAAATTGGGATAGGTTCGTGAATTGTCGTTTCTGGAATGAAGTAGTTAAGATGATTACGACAGGATTTGAAAGCGAGAACTATGATGTTTATTTGAAGATCGAATGTGACTATTCTACACACGAGTGCCAGTTATACTGAACTTAGGTACTGTATAAATAACGAAACAGGATCCTATGTCAGTGAGATCACAAAAGTTGACGAGAGAGAGATACAACTACAGCCTTATGTTGGAAGAAGTCCAGTCGTTACAAAGGGCGGGAAACCTGATCCATGCGCGGAAAAAGCGGAGGTGGTGCCAGGCGCGGAGAAAGGTTTACCCGCTTGTGGCACTAGTAAGTAGATCCAGGGCCTTCGGATGAAATTCAAGAAAAATTCAAGCGCGTGAAAAGCGCGGGAAAATGTGAAAACTGCTGAGGCGCGAGAGACGTTGAGACCGGCTCATGGCGCGGGAAAACGCAAATCTGCGCAAAAACGCGTATCTGGCGCACAAGCGGCTGATGATCCGCCGTTCCCGTACAGTACAAAACAAAACATTAAAAGAGATTGAAAGAGCGGGAAAGTGTAACCCATGCCAAAAGCTGGAACAGGTGGATCCAGTCTCGAATGCGCGCAAGTGCGCCAAGTGTGCCTAAGGCTTACAGGCTCTGACAACGTGACAACTTTAAGCAGATATTCAACAACTTCAAAACGACAGAGAGATGCGCGTAAAATTAATTTTGATCTACGTGTATCAGACATTTACAATTTGATCTGATGTTGTGGTAACTAATCGAGGATGCTTCGGAGCACTCTCACAGGACGTTAGGCCGTCAATATCGGCTAACCGGAAAAAAGGAAAGGCAACTAATTTGAACGGACTAAAAATATCAATAATTCAGCGGTATTTGAACTCTTTCTTTTTTTATGCAAACTCTGGATAAACAAAATTATTCTTTAACATAATTGCTCTCATATTATCTATTATTTTAAATTATTCTAACCTGCTGAGCCCCTGCAGCAATTTCGAGAGCTTCAGCCAGTCGCATGTCATCTCCAACAGGGAAAACAGTCTGAAGTGGTTCTGCTGTACTGTCAGAACTTTGCACACCGAGTGGATCATAGTGAATGCCGTCATAGATCAGATATACACATTTTCTATAGCCAATGCCTTCACCTGGAAAGTAATTTTGGTGATAAGAACGAGGTAAGTTACAGGTGTAAATAATCATCTCATAAGCTATACTTTACTGGCCAATCAAAATTACAGCTTGGACTGCATTGTTTGCTGAAAAATCTCACTGAGCTCAAAACAGTTCTACGTAGGGTTATTGGTAACAACACTCCAAGCCTATTGAAAACTGTTTGTAGACAAAAAGCAAAGAAGTGTAGCCTGACTTTCATGTACATGTCAGCAAGTACTGTTGGTTTCAGAAGATGGAGAAACATAAGGATAGCTTGCACTGAAATAATTCATTCATGCTGTCCTAAAAAAAAAACCACAACCACACCAACAATTTTCAGAAAAAAATGTTAAAATATTTTTTAGTGGGAGTGCACCTTTATCCGCTTCAGAAACCCTTCTAAGCCCCTTATCACTGCAAGGTCAGAGTTACCCAATCGTGTGGATTCAAAAGTGATTTTTACCATATCTGTCAACTCTCCCAGTCTCAGTATCAACAACAGCAATCTCTGTTTGGTAATGCTTACTCAAAATTGACAGCTCAATTGCTCCTGAAAGAGGATAAAAAGAAGAAACCTCTATTAACAATGGTTTGTTGCATGCTGTTAAAGTAGATCAAAGGAGAAAAAATAAAAGGAAGCACAAAATATGGCACTTAGAAGCTGTATCTCTCTTTCACTACAATTGCAGATTGAGAGAACAAAATACCCCATAGTATTAACACTATAGTATACTTGAGACTACTTTACCTCCCCAATTGTCTTTATTCAATATCCAGTTGCAGTAATCTGAGTTGTCTTGGCCCAGGAAAGCAGTGTTAAATGTCTGAGGATCATTTGAAACACACTGTGCAATGAGCTTTCTCAATTCAGAAGAAAAGGAGGTGTCGCCCAGCATAACATAACTAGAGAAATGCAAACACAAATATAGACAGTGGTCAGAACACCACCAGAGCTCAAGAAACGAAAATTATCTTTCATTGTAGAGGGAATACATGTATGCTACACAATGCATGTTAATGTAATTGAACCTAAAAAGAAAATTTAAAAGTTCTCTCAAACATATGCCTGTGCAGTGTAATGGTTCAATTCAACATCCTTTTTGTAATCTAGTGAACAATCTATTATTTCTCTTTCATTGTAAAAGATACTTTTAACACAGTTGATGCAAGCAATATCACATGTACACAGGCCAGTTAAGGCACACATCACATACATGTACAATCTATTACCTCCTGCTTACATTTCTGATGATTCCTGGTTACATGGCACGAAGCCATTGTAAATGTATAGAGGTTTGTGGGTTTCAGCTATCCTCAGATTTCTCTTTCAGATCTGTGGTTTGCTCATTGCATAAGTTACTGATTGAATTGAGTATTGTAATTAAATCACAAAGTTATCAGTGCAACCAACTTACCTAACACTTGTGAACAAGCAGGAATTATCAGCTGGAACAACTCTGAATGGCAAAACAAAAACAGCACTTGCTAAAAAGTAGTACAAAAACTTTCTGATTAGTTAGAAAGGTGTTTGTCTGCACTCTGACCTTCATTCAAGTCTTTATAGCAGCAAAGAGCTCTATTCAGACCATGATGATCAATCACTTGCTATTCAGTGTTATCATTTTGTTATACAACTGGGTTAAAAATTAGTTACACTGGGTATGATTTTCTCCAAAATTAAAACTCGTCCATCGGAAGAACAAAATTCCTGTCATCAAAAACAGTTTTGTTCAAAGAGAGGTCTGCCCAATACCGCCCTTCTGAGCTCATAGACTCTACAATAAGTGAAAAAATTAAATTCAATCTGTTTGATTCTATGAGAAAACTATATAACCTTTTCCTCTAATACAAATCCCCTTCTTAACAATATACAGTAAGACTTAGGCACATGGGCATGGAACTATTCTCCCTGCTTTATACTTGTTAGAATGGAATACTCAGAGTCTAGTCATTGTTGAGATGATTTTACTATTTCACAGTCAGTTACAAAGAGAGATTGTGCATATTGCATGTTGTTGTCATTGAAATATTACATACATACATAGGTTAATTGACCACTCCCCATGGGGGCTTTTTAGGGCCAACACCCACCCATCCCACCCCAGGGGAGGAGATCCACCACACAGTAGTCTTGTGCATGGGAAATTAACGTCTCCTACCCCTAACCCTGCAGGAGACAGGGCCTATGGTTTATTCGTCCTTATCCGAGAAGACTAGAATATCTATCCATTTCTTGTTATAGAAAGGTAGCAAAATCTCCTCAGTTATTTTAAGACCATGAGTATTGGTCTGGCCGGGGCTCGAACCCTCGACCTCCCGCACAACACAATTCAGAGCACTAACCAATTGAGCTATATTCTGCTACACTAACCAATTGAGCTATATTCTGCTACACTAACCAATTGAGCTACATTATATGTATGTCTGCTAACAAAAATTAAGCGTTTTAATCTTTTCCATGATTTTGAAAGCCTACTTGTTGTCTGTGTCTCATTATCCAGTTCCCTTTACCTACTTCCTAGATATAAGCTCCTCATCAAAACAGAGCGAGCCCTACACAGTCAAAACTATTTACAGGTGTCTAAACCCCCCATTCATATCCCAGAATTTGACAATATTCATTAAATAGTTAATAGCCAAGTGTATACCATGTGTCACTTACTTCCTTGTCAGTTTTCCCAGTGCAGCACTTCCTAAAGATCTCTTGTAACTATCTATCAATACTCTTGGTGCTTTTTTATCCTCCTCAATGATAAGAGTGTCTCCTGAACGGATGTCAAGTGAAGACAAAGAGTCACTCTTATCTCCACAGATCAGCTGTTTTGGTGGAAATCCTGAAAGAACTTAAGTTTTCACATATTGCATGTCAGTACAATGAACATGTCTAACCAAATTAAGACTGTTGCAAAAGAAAGGTGCTACTCTTAAGCAATCATTTGGCCACTGATGTCGCTGACACAGATATTTTAAGTTTACTTGTAGATAAACCATACATACAGTCTTACTACATTATTTATAGTTAGTGTACATGCACAAAACTTACTTCTCTGTGCATGTGGTGGAACATCTGTCAATAACCATATCTTCTCCTGCAAATCAGCAACAGTGGAGCTGGTAGAAAGTCCTTCCAGATTATTGCGTCTTCCACCCTTATATTGACATCTTAAAACCTTTAGGACAATGCATCCTTTTTTCAGATATATTCTAAATTATTGAACATGTAGCTCTTAGAGGTGAATCATTTTTTACCGATACATAAAAGATATATTGCACAAAAACGAAATTATTTATGGATTTCATAACCAACAACACAACAGCAACTCTGGATGGCCAGATATTGTTGAATGTTTCGGGTACTTTGCAGCTATTTCATATCTAATCTTATACATTGATTTACCGCAAAAAAGTCCTTCTTATACTTATTCGTTGCAATTGTTTTTTGTTCTTCAAATTATTTCCAACAACCATTTTTGTCTTCATTTAACTCAGTAAGGTCCATCATGCTGAAAAGTGCCTTGGAGGCCTAAGATTGGCGCTGTTGAAGGTGTATTATCATTAATATTAGTTATCACTAATATAAATAACAAAAGAAAGTTGGAATTTAAGAGTACGTAAACAAGATGACAAAACCTAACTCGAAAAAAAAAAAGCTTCGCACTCCTGTTGTAGCATTTTTAACCTGAGTGGCAAAACATAACTACTTTTATACCGAGAACACAAACTTGTTTATTTTTACCTCTGATTGGCAATCTTCTCAGATCTCAAGCAAGGGGAAAATGAGGGTAAGCTGTTAGAAAATTGAAAACAAAATAAGTTAACGCTTTTCTCACCATAGACGCCATCTTGAAGTCTGCAAGCTCCTGGATTCGACCAAGCCTCGCTTCTATGCTTATAAATAAGGCGCGCACTTTGACTCGTAAATTGGCGGGAACATTAACTATTTTAACCGTCACTTTCCAGTAAGAAGTTTTCTTTGCACAGACCTGTATTTATAGCTTCGAAATCGCCCCAGCAATTAACGGAAACACCTTTTTTCTCCGATCTAATCGAACTCAAGCGCAAAATGAACAATTCGATCCCAAATAACGAGGAAACCAGCGATGACGAGACGTTGGAAGATGTGACGCCGTGCTCTTCCTCGAAGAAAAAAGCACTGTCGCGCAAGAAAATTATGAGCTCACAAGAGGAGAAAGATGCTATAAAAGATTCAATCAATTCCAAGGAGGGTAATCTCATGAACAGTTCGATCTCAAATAACGAGGAAACCACCAATGATGAGACGTTGGAAGACGTGACGCCGTGCTCTTCCGCTAAGAAAAAAGCACAGTCGCGCAAGAAAATTCTGAGCTCACAACACGAGAACTATTGCAAGGAGGTTACTTTAATCGATAGAAGCAAGGATCCAACTGATTCAGAGAATACTGCGCGCTATAATTCTGACTCTGAGGATGATGATATAAGTGACATAGGAATTAAAAACACGGCGCGTAAAAATGGCGAAGAAAAAGCGGGAGCGAAGAAAAGGAAAGGGACTATCTCTTCGATTGACGATGAAGATGACTTGTGAGTACATTACACGATTTGTTAATGTTTTTTGAACTAAAATAGTGGCTAAAATGATTTTTGAAATAAAATGATGACTGAAATGATTTTTACTCTGTCGCTGCCATCTTAAAATGATTGCGGGGATTAGAGTGTTATGTTAGCTATTCAATGTTATTATATTCTGTGTAAAATTCATTGTTTCTAATGTTTACGTGGGAAGTTTCTGGAACGATAAAAGAGATATTTCAGACGCGATAGATTTAAGTTAACTGTAAGTGCGTAATAAAGTGCGTAAGAGCTTAATACTCGGACAACCATGGAGGAAGAAGCCAATGTGTTATGAATCGAAGGGATGGACTGTCGAGGGTTTTTTATGTAAATTTATACACAGTACCTTCGAACAGATGTATCCCACCTGAACTGTTGGCCATAATCACCAATCAAGGATATGCACCTCAAGATAGGTTGCATTGAAAGGCTACAGTTGAACCATGGCTTGTTCTCGTTTTGTCGGATACTTGTCAATTTTTTTTAGTACTCTGCATCATTGTGCAGAACAAGTTAATTTAATTCTGCACAAGCTACAGTATTATGTTGTCTACTATGATGGAATTTTTCTCTGTTCAGTACCCCACAGAAACAGATTAAGACAGAAAGGGAACAAAACGCTAAGAGGAAATTAGCTTTGGAACAGTTGGTCCATAGTAGAAATCGTACGAAAGGGCCATTGAACATGACTGTTGATGCTGGAAAGGGTTCCCCTGAAGAATCTAAGGTAATTATTAAAATATCTTATCAGAGTTATCTGTAGATTCCATCAAAATTTGCTCAGAGCAAGAAAATTGCACTTGAGGCACAGCTGAATGTGTCAGTGATGTTCTTACCATCATTTGATGTTCTCTTTGATCTGATACTGAACAGATGGATGGGCTATTGAGCAAGCCTGATGATGGTGAAGAAGGTTCATCCAAAGAATCTGAGGTAATCATTATTTCACAGAATGATCAAATACATGTAGATTACATGCTACAGTCTCTCTGTTCAGAGATAGATCATACATTCCACCAAAATGTGCTCAGAGCAAGAAAACATCACTTGAGGCACAACTTATTAAAATATCTTTTTAAGTTATCTGACTTATCTGTAATCATTATTTCACAGATTGACCAAATACATTTAGATTATGTGCTACAGTCCGTCTGTTCAGTGATAGATCATGCATCATTCCATCAAAATGTGCTCATGCAGAGCAATAAAATATCACTTGAGGCGCAGTTGAATGTGTCAGTGATGTTCTTACCATAGCCTTGGCTACCAAAATACACTCAGCTTGCAGCTCTGATCCTACAATGTGTTTGTAATTCTTCCATGCTTGATACAGATTAGCACAGATCAGGCTATGAGATGTGGTTAGTGGACAAAAAAATTGTCCAATTGTTTGATTTATTTGGTCCTGAGCCATTGAGAAATATATAGTAAATGTACATGTACTGATATGTTTGGAGGAAGTGAAGAAAACTTTTATTGATTTTTAAAGTTTTTAGGAAAGTGGAAGAAGTGGAGGAAGTGAAGAAAACTTTTATTGATTTTTAAAGTTTTTTTCCACAACATCTTGTCTTTATCAATAGTTGAGCAGTTCAGATGATGAAACCTCTGGAGATGAATCAGATCTTGATGATTTTGTTGAGGGAGACTCCCCAAGTCAAGAGTTGGTAAGCAGTATTTGATAATAATTACACTTTTAATTGTAATTAGTATATACTAAAACAGTGGATAGCGTTGAAGGCGCACTCTGATTGGCTAGTCAAACTCCGAATATCCTTTGCTATTTACCTCCGAGCAACTTGGGGAAAAAATGGCGTGCTGGTTTGCATCCATGACAAGTGAAGAAATCACTCAAATAATGACGAAGCAGTCCCTGAAAACACAGAAAGCGACTAAATTTGGTTTGGTGGTGTTTAATGGTAGCCGGGAGTTTATCGATAAAAACCGATGAAAAAGGTTTTGTTTACAAATGCAAATTAATCTTGCGTAACCTCACTTGTTCACTTGAAAATCAAAGTTAAATGGTATTTTTTACTGAATGGTTTCAAACACAGAAAGAGTTTGCAACACCATGAAATGTCGCCACCAGAGCTAAACAAATGTCTTCAGAAATTTTATCTGTCAGCGAAAAAATTAGACGGCAGGTTTTACAACAAAAACAAAAAATCACTTACCGCGATCCAAGCCGTGTTGGATTGTTACGCGCGGGAAAATGTTGGAATCGTTGCTGGAATGTATGAATTAAAATCAATTTTTGGTGGTGTATATTATCTCACTGTTTTAGTATATACTAAAACAACTATTCACCCCGATGTCGGTGGTTAGCGGTGAATATTTACCTTGCCACTTCGCGGCTCGGTAAATATCCACCACTAACCACCTCCACTTCTGTGAATAGTTGTTTATAACTATCATCTGTTCACAATTGTTAGTTATTACTATTTAATGGACCATTTTTTAAGAATGTGGTAAAAGGTTATTGTGCAAGATCCTCCTTTCCTGTTACTTCTGCTTGCATTGTGTCACAAGAAAGCCATAGCTTAGTGGCAATAAGTCACTGACATTATCACAGATTAGAGCTTGAATAACAGGGATTCATTAATTTCAGAAGTAGGCACATATTAGTATATAAGTAGGAGGAAGACGGTTCAGTGGTAATCAAGGGAGATTTGTCACCAGTCTTTCTCTTGTGTCCATTCAACATGGTGTAAAAGTGATTGTCTTGTTGATTGAATTTTTAGAACTCACCCAACAACCAAAAAGGAGACAAAATTTCAACAAAAACACCTTTATTGATGACTGCTTTTAGAATATATTGAATGTTTACCAAAAAAATGCAAAAAACTGGGAAGTGAAATGGCCATAGTAGCCAGCTCCATTGTGGAGGGTAGCTGTCAGAATTTGGTGGTTACCGCCTCCTGATGAAATCCCTGGAATAATCATAATATTGTTTCCACAGTTAATTGATCATCTTAATATTATACATGTACCTCAGTACATGTAAATGCTTCTCATGAACAAATTCACCAACAAAGCCACATGTACAGCAAATAATAATAATCAGTTTAATTACTTTTTTTGTAGCTTACAGCTAAATTACAAGAGTGGTCAGATACAACTCATATATATACGATAACACAAAACATTTTACTATGAAAATTTGTCGAGACGGTTAGTAGAGGCCATAGTGGGTTCTTCTCCAAGGGTGCCTGAGTGTAGATTGTATCCATGGGACACAGTTGTGCGATGTGGGAGCAAGTTAGCAAGGACACCAGCGTCCCGAACTCTCTGGATAAATGTAGTGCATGCAGCAGCACGTCAATCAGAGAGAGTGCGAAGACCACACAGCACAAGTGCATCCCTGTAGGGAAGTCCAGGAAAGATTATTTCCAAGGCTTTTATCTGCACAGTCCCTCAATTAGGGGGCTAAGATAGTCAGGCAGGTTTGCCCATACTGGGGAGGCATACTCCAACACTGAAGGAATCAGGCTGGAATACACCATAACTAACTCCCTTTCCAAAACACCTGACTTCTTCAAACAACGCAGTGCGAACAGGCGTTTGCGCACTCTCTGAAAAATGTACTCACAGTGCATATTCCAGCATAAATTATCAGTAACATTAATTACACCACAAGAAAAGACCCAGAAAGCTGTAAAGGAGGAGGATGGTGCGGCTTATAGCGCAAGAAGTCTAAACATCTCCCTGCACTTCACCGGGCTAAGGCACATGCCATGCTCATTAGCATAAGTGTAAATATCTCTTGCAATGAATGGAAGTACACTAGGTATAATCTCTACAACTGAAAGGTCGTCGACATATTTAGCCCTGATCTTCCATTGCCTGGCCAGGTTATTAACAAGTACTGCAAACAGCAAGGGGGCCAATTTATTCCCAAGGGGAATACCACACCTAGGTATGACATGACCCGAGGTAGAACCACCTATTTTAACAAATAGTTGGTGCTAAAGAACTGCCTTTTGATCTTGTTTTGATTATAAAAATGTGTTCAGTTTGTTCTTAAACTATTACAGGCTGAAACTTCTGCGTACTTTTACAACCCAAGTAAAGAAGAGTTGTTTGACAGATATGTTGAAACAATTTTGAACAGTATTGTGGATGAAGAGTTTTCATCATCATTGCAGAACTCAAATGGTAAAGTAAACTCTTGATATTATAAATCAGAGACCTTTCATTTCAGGGTTATCATGACTTTATTTGGTAAAGGTAATGAATCTAATCCCACCAATACGTTGGTCAATGCTGCTGGTTCAACAGTCAGCTGACAGTCATCCCCACCTCATAAATTCACAAACTGACATTTTTTTACTGTTCTTTGAGTTATTGAAAACATGCAATAAGAGCACATATATGGCCTTTAAATGTATATTATATCAGTTGTCCCTTAACCCAATGAAGCTATAGTTGTTGTCAGTGATTTCTGAAACATGATTTTGAAATACATTTATGTGTACATCATCATCACTCACTCAGCCTGCCCAAATGAATGCTGCCATGGAAACATTAAAAAGTTAATAAACAGTGTGGCATTTTATGAGAAAATATGAAATCACAAGTATCTTGCCCCACTTTACAAACTGAATCAAATTAATATAGGTTGGAGTTCTTTTTATAAAAAAGTTTGCTACACAAAATGTATCCTTTTTATTACGTGTACTTATGTTGTCATATTACTATTATTAATTTAGATTATCGCTTTGAGAAAGCACAAACCTATTGGGAAAATCTAATAAATACTAAGAAAGATCAAGTGGTTAGCAGAAATTGGAAAGACTATAAGGTATTTTAGTCTCCTGATTCTATCATAGTTTATGAGCAGTGGAGAGTATTTACTTTTCCTTGAAATACTCTGTTCTCATTTAAGTTTAACTATGGAACATAGGTCGCGTTTAATATGTTGTTGATGAATTTGCTGACATTTTGGTTCGCTGGGATCAGGGCTTCAGATAAACCCATGGCCTAATCTGCCTATCATTCGAAGCCCTTCAAAGCTTGTGTTGAAGTCCTGGCCAAAACCTTGACTAGAAGATTTATCACACCACTCTGCAATCCATTGCATGTTGTTTATTAGAGATTGGAGAATGTGTTTTCAGTTTGTTCATTGTGTAATGCAGTGTAGCTTTGCAGAATTCTTCTGTTAAATTTCAAATGAATTCTCAAATGAATTCTCCTGTTGAATTTCAAATGAATCAGAATTCTCCTGTTAAATTTCTTGTTAAATTTTGAAACCGCCTCCCGGTTAGCTCAATGGATAGAGCGCTGGACTGTTGTGCGGGAGGTCGAGGGTTCAAGCCCCAGCCAGACCAACACTCAAGGTCTTAAAATAATTGAGAAGAATATGCTACTACCTTTCTATACCACCAAGAAATGGTTAGATATTCTAGTCTTCTCGGATAGGGATGAATAAATGGAGGTCCCGTCTCCTACAGGGTTAGGGGTAGGAGACGTTAATTTCCCATGCACAAGACTACTGTGTGATGGACGTCCTCCCCTGGGGTGGGATTTATTGAATGGACTACTCGCGTGGTTCGCATAAAATATGTTCCGTTCTAGTCCTACCCTACTGCGGTAATGCAATGAAAATGGTTAGAATAAAATCTTAAGCTACAATGTATTTTACATGAAGAATATGCATCCGTTATCTTTCTTCTGCTTAGTATCACATTTCATGGTGAAAACCCATTAACTGAATTAAAAATTTGATTCAATCAAAATACAGTGGGTTGTTTTTGTGAACATTGTATCCTTTTTTAATATATTTTTTATTGATTGATGTAGTCAATGCATGATGTAGGTATAAGTTTCACAATGATTGCATAAACAGTCATAGATGAAACATTTCTCTTGGCAGAAGAGGTTGATGGAATGCCCTGTCATGAAATCAAAATTGCTGGGGTATACAAGAAAGAAGTATATAAAGCAACAGTGTGAAGTATGTTTTGTTAGTGAATAATATTTTAGGTATTTTTGTGTGTTAACATGACCTTTTTGTTTTAAAAAAGAATTCTTATTGAACCAAGTGGTTACAATGTCATTCAGTGACTGCATGACTATAGTATCAGTCAAACTTGGTATTATTCATTAATTTGTCCTTCCTTTACATTGACAAGAAGCTTTCCTGATCGATAATACAAGTACAAATAATATTTACAGTTTAATTTTATATTGCACTCTACTCTTGCATGGTTATTGCATGGTTGATTGATGTTCATAGTTTGGACACTTTTATCCTTGTTCCACTGATAATTCAGTCATATGATAGGAAAGTGTACATGTATCTAATTACATTTTGAATAATCTATTAATTAAAATCGGAAAAAAAACTGAAAATAGAGGTGAATTATGTATGTGCATGTTGTTTTTGTCATTTATGAAAGCAATGAATGGTTTTGCATTGCCTTACCCACTTGCAAAGGTTTTTCCAAGTACCAACTTTGAAGTTTTGCTGTCAAAATAGTTTGCTAGGCCAACAGAACATGTCTTTATCATGTGCTTGGAGGGGTAGATGCAATCAATGGTAAAATAACTTATTTATGAGGTCCTTGAATTAGAATAGTATTCAGTGTATTTCAGTTTAAATTGTTGTCCTGAAAGTCTACACATCTGAACATGACAGAGCCCCAAATCTCAATAATTTGGAACTTATATTTAATATTTCATCCTTATCTTCTTAGCTTAAAAATTTATGATACACTTTTAAATTAACCTCTATGAAATATTCATGATAGGGGTGCTTATTGCCACGAACCATATCAAAATGTGTAGCATTTTACGAAGAGCCTAATGGAAGGAAAATCAAGGTGGGTTTAACACAGGAGGAAATACAACAAGGTTTCTTACCGTGTTTGTGAGATTGAATGATGCATTATTCAAGAAAAGCCTCTTCACATCAGCATAGCAAGCCTAGTTGGGGAAACTATTTTTGTTTCATCTCATTGACTTAAGCATCTTGAAGATGAAATGTCTATTGTTTGGTTTTTTAAGGTTGTAACTGGCACAGTGTAGGTGCTTAGATGCAGTCCAGTGAGAAGATGGTACTAACATCTTCACATCATTTTCTTATACACTCTAATTCTTGCACATGTATCACAAACCTTGATTTATAGCGGAAATTTAGTTCAGAGATTAATTCTGCAGTTTTGAATAAATATTGATTACTCAACTATTTTCTGGGACTAAATAACATCTAATAGATATGTATACTTTTACTTAAGGAGTTTAAGGTTGGCTGCCATTGTGCAAGAAGAGGGTGGGTATATCATCGCCTTCATCATTTCAAGGAGAAACTGAAGGAAAGTTGCTCTGAAAAGGTATAAAATGGAGGCAGATTGTCTAAGGGATAGTTTTTATAGTTGGAAGATAAATTGAATATCTATTAATTTGCTGAATGCTCGACCCCTGAAATGATCTACATGATTATGAAGGTGCTATCTTTGCCAGTTTGTTTGCAAGGCATGGCAAGTTTTAAACTGTAAGTGTGAAAGTGGGTCATGGGAAAAAAATTCAAAAACAATTTTTTGGAAACACGTTAAGAAGGGAATATACCTAACACGCATTCAATCACAACATTAAAGACCATATATAGACTTTTAGATCTGAAATCAAAGTTGACACTAATCCCGGGCTATCATAACCCAACTTTGAACAACCCAGCCTTGGTCATTTTGTCATTTTATTCACTTACTATTTTGTAGATTATTGTTATCACTACCACTGTTATTATCAATTTTATAGAAAATTTGAAGATAATATACTAAATGTCATGGAAACTCATGCACAATTGTTTATAATCAGTGGCCAGAATTGCTCGTTGTACTGTGATAAATGTGAGCAAGGGTTACCACAGTATGTAAGCCCTATAGTAGCTAACTTCACAAACTTAACTGAGATAAATAAGTTTAAATCTCTCAGGTTAATGAGGTGCGAGACAGGGCAAGGACTGGAACACCTAAAGAGGTTGTTGAGAAGTGTATTGAGGACAGAAAATGGCTTGATGAGGTGAGGTTAAATTTTTTTTTTTTTTTTTCTTTAACCTTAAGTCAACTCCTCTCTTTTCTCTAAAAACACTCAATTCAGTCACACCTTTGTTTTCTTTTTTCTATCGCAGCTGTTTAGAGATTTGAAGTCAAAGTTGAATGATGCCGATACGTGCCCACTGGGTGGATAATAAGATCGGTAATGAACAAGTACATGTAATGTCAGAGTTTTGGGAAATAGGTATACCTTTATGAACCAGAGCTTACCAAGAACATTTTTCGATCATGATTACAGCTGTCAACAACATTTATGTCTATTGCAAATTGATTGATTAATTTGATTGATCATGATTATCTGCTGTCAACAACAACATTTACGTCTATTGCAAATTGATTTATTAATTTGATATACATGCAATACACAAGTTAAAGATGACCATCCAAAGAACTAAAGTTAAACCCACCAGTTGGGTAATCCCGAATTTTTATTTATTTAATTTTTTTTTAAAGTAGGATGTCTTTTAAAATATTATAATGTTCACAAAATAAAACTCCTCTTTCCTAGGTTTGGTCACTGCGCAAGGGGAAAAACAGGCATTCATTGCTTTCTCAGCCCAGCTAAATGCATTTTAGAGTTCTGATTTGGGATCAACGTTAGAAGCTGCATAAATCGTTATTTTTTACATAACGACTTTTTACGGTACGGATTTGAGACCCCTAGATGTATGAGAAGAATATGTAATGGTATACTATGTGAACATTTTAGTCGACATACTCTACGATTTTACGCTAATTTTACGATTTTACGATCAATCTCATTGGCTGGGTACAGTTCATAATAATTTGTTTTTCGCGGGACGAACGTTTCCTCGAAAAAAATTAGGATCTACACGAAAATAATGTTCTGGAAGCTTCCCCCGCTATGACCAAACGTTGATATTCCATTAGCTATCGTTATATCGAGGATAAGCTCAGCACAAAATGAGCACAGCACGCGCTTGAGAACTGACTATGTTTTCGCGGTACTGATCTGTCAGTATATTTTTTTTCTCCCTTGACGGGCTGAGCTATGGGAGGGAGCCGACTTGTACTTAGACGTTGCATCTCTAAATGCGTCATAATTTATTTTAAACATATCTCTTAATGTAAGGTTCTTACCAAAGATATCAATATTTAGGTATTTAATAGTTAATAATTGATAATTCTTAGCAGTACCGAAAATTATAAAAATGTTTATGTGGCAATTCTTCTTTGATTTGGATTTGGGAATTCTTGGACCGCCGAAAAAGAGAAATTTCTCGGAGTCTACCGGCTCATAGTCTAAACAGCTCGTGGTTTACCTCTGCAGCCATGTGTGTTTTTGACAGAACATGACTTGCTCAGTCATAGTACGCGTGACAAATTGGTGACCTGCCAACTTTATTCCTTTTTCCCTCGGGGGGGAATATATAGTGACTTAGTCACACTAGCGTCAATTTTTCCCCGTTTCTTATCATTTATTACCGTACGGGCTTTAAAAGAAGCATTCATCGTAAAAAAAAAAGTTCAGAGCTGACCAATTCTTAGTCAGATCTTCACTATTACAATTGTGACTTGTGTGGTCGTAGACATGGTACAAGCACGAGACTCCACCTCTACGTCAAAACATACGAAACACGTGCATTTAAATATCTTAAATGCTAAAAACAAGATTTTCAACGTGCGCTAGTGCAGTTTACCGTGAACAGCTTGATAATTGAATATCTGAGAGTTTTCTTCGCTTAAGCCAAAAATTGTGTTCATTGAAACACCACAGAGAATCTGTAAACTTCTGTCATGAACGCCCTTTTACCACTTTTAATTACACAGAGGGATGGTTTTCGACCGTTCACACTGAACGAAGCCTTTTAATTTCGCCCTTTCGGATAGTTTGATTCTTTTTTTTTTTTTTTCAAAGATAACTTTCAGAGGTTGCCGCTCTCGACCATTGAACACGATTGACATCAAGCGTTTGTATAGTTTGAAACTATCGAGAGAAGTCCGATTCGGTCTCATTACACGAGATGTTGGAACATGAAATACCTTTTCTTTAGTTGTGGAAGCTCTCATAATTGCAAATGCTCCGAGAGTAGGTCGTCACAATATATAGAATGCAATTTTTAGGCGACGTGGACAAGCGCCTTGAGATTAAAGGGAGATTTGCAGTGGCTAAACGAACCACTCGCAAGAAGGGCGAACTCCACGAAATAAGAACGAACGTAGAGGATGGAGAAAATTGACGCGGATTTAAATGAAAAACGGAAAATTTTTAGGCTTGATTTTTCCAGCTTTGTCATCCGTACCATAGCGTTTTAAACCTTACATAAGCGCAGCATGGTTCTTCTGTTCACGATCTCGCACCAAAACTGTACCCGTACCCATTCTGTTTAAAATCACAACGGGATATTGGCGCTTTGTCGCACATGATCATTAGGTGATTCAGGGTTCCCGTGCGACCAAGCGTGCTAACTCACTCGTTTTGCTGTAGTTCGAATACGTAACCACTTTTTCACGTAAATAACAGTAACTTGTCTGAGAAACCTGGGATCGATGTCAGAACACCTCTCCCCCCCCCCTAAAAAAAAATACATGGCGTTATCTTTCTTGTTGGTATAGTCAGCGGAAGAAATTCATTTCAAAGACGCGGATGATGCTTCTGCATTCCGTAACACTTTATCGGTTTGATTATATTGTAAAAGTTTTTGCGGACCCGATCACGCGCGAAAATACAGGACTAGTAGGAAAATCCCGTAATGGTAACGTGACCGGTCAGATGTCGTTGGGTGATCATCATGTGCTGTGGGGCTTAAGTACTTGTTACAATATCGTTTTTCACCAGTTCCAACATAACTGCTCACAGGGTTCCCCTGTCTCTTAAAATCAAGAAAGTCATCTCAAAAGGTAAGGATTTAACTATTTAATGTGCATCTGAGTCCCTTTTCAATAGAACCCTCAAGCTATAGCTACCTGGATGTCACAAAATATTCGAGGCTTAAGTCACGAAACTGCATCGTTTCGGATCAAAAAAAAAAAAAAAACCTGTTGCTTCCGTTCAGCTGAAGCTATCGCGCCTGGTTTATCATCGAGCTCCGTTTCATGTACTATTTTAAAAACAAGTGCGAGGGTTTCATCAGGGTTTCCAGACACGAGAAAACTAATGAAAGCACGAGGCCACAGTTTTCTCGTGTTTGGAAACCCCTATGAAACCCGATGTAAGAGTTGTTGAAGAAGCTTCTCAATCGCTGCCCGAGAATAAAAGAAAATGGAAATATTCACGAATTGTTCACATATTGTCGGCAAGTTTGTTGCTGTTATTCAAATTAAGAAATGAGTTTACTTGAGTTTTATGCTTTACCAAACTCAAGGGTTTGAAATCATATGAAACTCATAGATAGCACGTCATTCCAGTGTTTCACCTGGGTTTCAAACCACATGTACACGTGACGAAATTGGCGTGTCTTGGTTGGATGATCCCCTTATGAATGATTAAGGAGTCTAAATATAACTGATCGCCTGAAGGCTGGAACAGGCCAGCGCTCTTGACGACTTGCCATATGATTAATTATGATTTCTTTTTATCGTTGTATAACAAACAAATGTACACAGGGATAAAACACCAGAACTTGAAAGAGGCATTTCTCACCCTGTGCTGGAGGTCCGAGTGGAACTTCCTTTGATCAGTCCAATTCCTTGTATCATTATCAATTTCTTACTGACCGAAGGCTGGAGTAAGTATAACTCAACTGACAGTCAATGATGTCTCAATCTATAAAACGGACGATCTCCACCTCGCTAGGGATCCTAGGATGGCATGGAGTATTGTTATTGCTTCTTATCATTTCGTCATTCAAAATTTTCCATTTGGAATACGAGCGGCCCCTTGAACAGGAAATCGCAGCGTGCCCATGTACCATGGGCGTCATTTACAGCACTACCATGTTTCTTGTCCCATCCCTGGCTGCCTACATTATTGCATGTTTCGCTTATTTCCGTCAAGACGACGGTAGCGTTCCTTGGTCTGCTTTGAAAAAATTCTACGAAATGGTACGTTCCTGTGATTTCTTAGAAGAATCGACCGGTTTTTTTTCCCATACGGAGCTCTGCAATTTCTGCCGTCAAGTCGAGCGTGATTGGACCCTGGTGAAAATTGCAGTTTCGGCAGTTCTCTCGTTGCTGTATCCTCTTGTGTGGATCATTCTCAGTCTTCTTCAAGCTCATTACTATGTGTGTGCTCAAGTTGGCCCTTCACCAATGATAGTCACTAGTTTCTGCAATGTAACAATCGATGAAGATTATTATAAAGACTACGCCTTGGCAGGGATTCGCTCGAAAGTCATCGGTGGAATTTTGTTTGCCTGCATGCTGTTTTGCGCTGGGTTGTTTGTAGTCCTCCATGGTGAAATAGAAAATTATTTGAAAAAATACGACGAGTCCTCAGACGACGGGAGTGCAAAAAAACTTGCAGTTTATGTCACTTTCCTGCCGGATCATTCATCCGGGGCAACAGATGCAGCAGGAGCAGCGGCTTCTCGCCACAGTGGTGCTCCAACCATCGCAAGTGGCCCAGGAGCTCCTGAGCCCAAAAGTCAAGTAAGGAACCGTCGTTATTTTTCGCCCGTAGGGGAGGGGGTAGTCGGAGGATTTAGAGGGGTACAGAAGGGGACCAGTTATCGCCAACAGACTATAAAAGGGGGATAATAGAAAAGTAGCAAAGGTCCACTTCATTATAATTTGCAATTCATTCTTTATTTCAGTCCAGAATGAAGCAAGATCCAAATGGTAAAGAAAAGGGGATTCAAATCCATTTGACCGGTAAACTTGTCTCTGTCCTTCAAGGGAGTATTCGAAATGACGCATGGCAAGGTGTTGATATCCGCTGTACACAACAGGAAGAACAGAGGAGCTTGCCAGGATGTTTTCCATTTCGCTCGCCGTCTCGTGCCAAACTACTTTCGGACGTTCAAAGGAAGCATGGGTACGAATCACTGCGAGAAGTAGCGGTTAAGAGTACTCGGAGTTAAACAACGTTTTATATCGACATTCTGAACGCTCGTTTAGACATAGAAGTTTAGGAAACAACAAATCTTCTCGATAGCTAAGTAACCAAAACGAGCGATTGATTGAATGGGTTACTTTTCACCAACTGAGTATTAGGGCCGTACTGGAGAATTTAGGCCCGACGTCGCGGCAGTACGGCCGGAGCGCCACGAGACCGTACAAAAACGACTTAGGGCCCATAATCTTCACTACGATAAGATAATCAGCTCTAAACCGTATGTACAGGAATATTTTTCGCTTTGCGGGAAGATAAATCTTGAAATGTTAATGCCATTTCAATTATTTAAAAAATGGGGTACCCACATAATGAACATAACTTTAAAGAGTTCCTCGCAAATAAGGACGGCTTCAAGCAATCCATTTCCGTTCATGGAAGGTAAATTAACGAAGAGCCATTTTTTGCGTCCTTTTTAGCAAATCGTCGTTCTAATGTTAGATGATAGGCCTGGGAAACACTCAAGAAATTTGCATAAATCGGTAATTAGATGCCTCAGTTTAAGATCCAACGCGTCAGGGCTTTGCTGTCTTCGAAGAAACGTCGCTTCTTTGGAAACCAAATCAAGGTTTGAAGATACTGAAAGACATCAGAATCGGTAAAACTTTGAATTTATTCTTTAGTTTTCTTATTAGGTAGACCACAGGTATTGCTCAGTCGTGTACGCGACGCCGAGAAAACAGGAATTGTATGTCTACTTAGGTGGTTGACATATGTCGTTGATACATTGAGAATCGCGAGAGACGTTTAAAAAAGTTTAATGTCTTAGCCATCTCAATTTTCCGAATTCCATGTGTCATCAGAATTTTTCAATAGAGCTGCATTCTGCCAGCGACATTCAGGCTAATAATAGAGCGGTGAACATGAAACTTTTCGTTTCCGAACCGAGCCCACTTCAGATGTCTGAATCCGGCGTGTTTTCGCTGAAGCTACCCAGGGAAATAAAAATTTTCGCCCAACTTTGTATCACTTTGCTTAATGTAGCTTACGATTTTGTAATTAAAGTCTATTATTTTTTCTAATTAATTGTATCTTATGCTTCATCAAGAAGCTTTTAACGTATCTTTATAAACAACTTAAACAATTGCGCCTGAGGTGAATTACGAACTTCTCCATTTTACTGAACAAACGTTTTGAATTATGATAAGCAGTATATAAACCCAAGAAAGAAGAATACCAGTACATGTTTATTTTATCGTCGACAAACGAAAATGTGGAACATCACGTTCGTTAGTGAATAAATTCGAAGCCCTTCTTTGTCCTGTCACGGTACATTCCTTTACAATTACAATTACAATTTATCACTTATAGAGCGCTATTTACAATGACAGATCAACAGCGCTTTACAATCAATCCTAACGCGCCCATCCCACCCCAGGGGATGACATCCATCGCACAGTAATCTCGTGCGTGGGAAATTAACGTCTCCTACCCCTAACCCTGTAGGAGACGGGACCTCCATTTATTCGTCCCTATCCGAGAAGACTAGAATATCTAACCATTTCTTGATGTTATGGAAAGGTAGCATATTCTTCTCAATTATTTTAAGACCTTGAGTGTTGGTCCGGCCGGGGCTCGAACCCTCGACCTCCCGCACAACAGTCCAGCGCTCTATCCATTGAGCTAACCGGGAGGCGGTTAAAAGCAACTAGACTCCGTTCAGTTCATTATTCACTCGAAGAAAGAAAAACTTTTAAAATTTTCTTTCGCTTTCTAAGGCAGAAATTATCCGAGTAAAAACGCAGGCTATTTTAATGCATGACCAATTTCGTAGAATCATTTCGAAATACAATTTCGCCGATAACGACTGTCGTGAGTAATTTGATTCCGTGATAATTTGATTCTGTGATGGCTTGGATTACCTGACGTCATGACGCGATATATATTCACTTTCAAAGTCGCGCAAATAACTTAGAGGGAAGTATGCTATCCTTTACAACATATAGCCCAGCCAACAACCCCGCTTTTTCAGGGGAACACCCTGAAAAGGAAAACGGTTTCAAATTATTTGGTCGCTTATATAATTTGCTGGAATTTCACTGGCAGCATTCCTGAGTTGTCCTTGCTTACCGTTTTTCTGCAAGACATCGGTGCTATGAAGTAAGATTTACGATACGATTGCAATAATTAAACATTGTAAGTAGCTACAAAGTAAAGAATATTAGAAAACTCTCAACGGTTCAATTCCGCTAGGCTCCAATACAAAGTAAAATTCATAGTGGCAAAACGACTTTGAATGAAACTTCGGTGCGAACCATTTTCAACCATGGGGAAGGGCTGTTTGGAAACTACAAAACAAACCTTGTAACTGGCCAACAAAGAGGAACGAAGGGACTTCAGAAATCTTAGGGTTACACGTAGCACTCATGATCTGCAATCGCCTAAGATATCAACATCTAAAGGGCAAGATAAGAAATAAAGGTGTTCTCCAAGAATAACACAAGTTTCTCAACATCCTACTACTCTTTCCTTGATAGATTCCCCAAACCTGATTCCTTCTTCTGCCACTTGAACTTTTGTAGGTTGACGTCTTTACCTCTGACCAGAAGCAAGAGAACATAAATTCTTGCCAGAAGTTGATCTTTAAAACATGGCTCAAGCGATGAAAATGGCCCTCTTTACCCTTGCAGGAATCCTGGGATGGCATGGAATATTTCTCCTGTTGCTCATTGTATCCTTTAAGTTGTTTTTAGAGGGAAATGGTGGCCCGCAAGAAGGCTTCACCTGCCCTTGCAATTGGCCAGTTGGTTATGGTACCATTATGTTACTATTCCCGTCGCTTATATTCTTTCTGGTCGCATTTTTCGCATACTTCCGTCAAGATAACGATAGCGTCCCATGGAAAGCTGTGAAAAAACTTTACGAGCTCAAATGTGCTTGTGACCTTTATGATAGGCGTGCCGATTGGGACTTCCACGCCGAACACTGTATTCGCTGCATGCTTCGCCGGAGAGACTGGACCCTAGTAAAGGTTGCTCTGTCAGCAATTTTCTCCCTTCTGTATCCTTTAGTTTGGCTGTCACTTAGTTTTCTGCAAACGTTTTACTACGTTTGCGCTCACGTTGGTCCAAATTATGACACGCTCATCAACTATTGTGATGTTAAAGATGCAGATATCCCCAAGAATTATGAAAAGAATCTTGTTCTGGCAGCTATTCGCTCGAAAGTTATGGGGGGTGTTTTGTTTGTAAGCACTCTGCTTCTTCTTGGTGTCTTTGTGATCGTTTATGGTGAGATTAAAAGCTATTTGAAAAAGAAAGGTGATTCGTCACAGACTGGACCCAACGGGAGAGCTGGTAATCTAAAAGTTCACGTCTCTGTTTTGCCGAGCCGTTCATCCGGGACATCAGATAGTGCCGGCCTCCATGGCAACAGAGAATCCCCTTTTGCAGCAGTTGAAAGTGGAGGCCAGGTGAGATTTTACATACAGGTGGCTCGCTTAAGCAAATCTCTGAAAAAGGAATAATCCGTTGCAGTGGAGCATAGAAGGTTAAAGTTTGATATTTTGTTTCAGCTCCAAAGTGTGGTGAAGTTTGCAAAACTCCGATTGAATTCGACGTTTCTTGGATAGGGAGGGTGATTCGCTTTTGGCGTTTCCTTGGCAACAATAAACAACACCAATTCTCGTTCAGAATTTCAAGCAGAATGTTAGTCAAAATTACCAAAATTATTATTTCTAAATGCAAATTTTCTTCTTGAATCAATGATGAGCATACTAAAAACTGACAATTCCACGTAAAAAAAAAAAATGAACTCAATAGGTTGTCATTTATTTAGCGAACCAATCAGGATCAGCCACAATTGCATGACGGGAATAGGACGGTTCGTATCAGTCTGAGTGACGAGTTTACCACAGCCTTGCAAAGCTGTCTTCAGGATGGCGCGTGGCAAGGAGTTGATATCAGCTGTTCACAGAAAGATGAGAGCACGAGCCTACAAGGATCAAACATCCAATTTCCTGAGCGATCATTGCACCAGCGAATGAAACCCGCTGACCGCTCCTTGGAAAACCCATCCTTAACTCCACCTTAAGTAGGGTAACTCAAAGAAAAGAGCATAGCTTGCTATCTGTTACTAAATTGGACTAATAATTTAGTCGTAAGCAGTGATCAGAGGTTTAGTTTCAAAATTGAGAATTGCTTTTAGGATTTTTAAAGCCGGTGATGCAATATTGTCTAAATAAGAGAAAAGTGAACAATACAAAAGTAATCTTTTTAGTAAAATTAGTTAAGCAATAAGTAAGAAAATTGTTAACGCGAGTTTTACAAAAACAGTAGTATTTTTATGCGATATGACAAGTCAAAATTTCATGTAGCGTTTCGAAAATACAATGTCAACATTTTTTTTATTTCTTTATTTTGATTTGGACTTGGTGGAAATTGAAATTTTTTATTTCCATTAAATGTCTATAGTTGAACTGATTAATCTAACCAGTGATTTACTGTAAATTGTCGTTTTATAGTGTCTTTTACAAAGATAACATAGAATACTTATGTCTAGGTTTTCCACGTAAGTTAAAAATCCTGTGATCAATGAAAGTGATTTACACAACAAATGAAAATGAATCTCTACATCTATGATCTATTTATAGTCTGTGATGCCAGGCACTCGCCTTAAGTTTACCTCTTTTTGAACATTTTTGCGACACACAATTTCTGCGATATGGATGACATTTTAAAACTGACAAGTCTATGAAATTTTTTTGATCCGAAAATCTTGAAAAAAAAAATCCTTGAATAGAGATATTTAACGAAAATGGATGGAGACGTGCGCGCATAGAGGTTAAAACGTTGTAATTCGCTACCTGAGCATGACTTCAGACATGCATATGTCT